CACACATGATACACAAACACGCACACACACACACACACACACATTGTTTCTTTTTTCTTCCCCTCACACCTCCCTCCTCTCTCTTCCCCCCTCTGTCTCTCTCTCTCTCTCTTTCTCTCTCCCCCTCCACCCGCCCCCTCAATTATTGTGTGCCGCTGCCTTTTCTATTGCGTCATTTCACAACCAACACCGCTTTTTAAAGACCGTTTTCTCTCTGTTTAGCCATCTGTGTAATGTGTAGGATGCAGGCCTAGGCTAACTTCTGATGCCCTTCTCTCTGTTTAGCCACTCGTGTAATGCGTAGGATGCAGGCCTAGGCTAGGCCTATGTTCTGATGCCCCAAGCTCACTCTTGGCCTTGCGCAAACTTTGGTGGCCGAGAGCACATCACCCACCTCCAGGCATTTTCATGATTTTGCCGTGGACGACGCAAGGGAAGACTAGCAGTTTTCTAGGCGTGTCCTAAATCCTAATATATTGCTGTACTACAAGCCTGTTAGCCTTTGACATTTTTGCTAGTTTTCCCTTTTTCATTTTGTTTATATACCAGCCACCTCTCTCCTGACTCCCTATGATGCCAATCCACTTATCTTCCTAAAAGCTTATTATATTATTTAAAAAAATACGGCAAACACGATACAAAAAATTCCAATATGTTAATTTATCTTTGCACGCATGCCGTTAAACTCTTCGCTTCAACCAGACTGCCTTTGTGCTGTCCTACTGTATACCGTTATGTTTAGAATTTTTTTTTGGGAGGTGTGTGTGCGCGCGCGTAAGTGTGTGTGTGTGTGTGTGTGTGTGTGTGTGTGTGTGTGTGTGTGTGTGTGTGTGTGTGTGTGTGTGTATGCTTGCTTGCATGTGTTTGCTTGCATGTGTAGTTGGGGCGAAGGAGGTAGGTGGTTGGCGCAAAGGCCTCAATGTTGCCTCCTTGAAATAGTGTTGAAGTTAAGTCGTCTTTCATATATGACGGTATGACTACCCAACGTGTTTGGGTATGCATGATAAATATAGTAAGTTCGGAATGGAGACATCAGCAAGACATTTTTTGAAATTCTTCATCTGCTGTCACTTGTAACAGAGTAAATGGGGGTATAATAACGAATAGATGTAGTTCATCCTCTTTGTGAAAAAATAGTACAGGATGCTATACATAATTAATTTGTAAAGAAAAATACTCCCTTTTGTGACTTTCAAGATATTATTATACCGAGAACACAGGTCATATCGAGGCATTTCTTCAGACCTACGATAAGACCGTAGACTAGTTATCAATGAGTTTATGAGAAAGAAAATGATATCGTTGGTGGGCCGCAGGCTTGGCAGGCTGTCTGGCCGGACGGCCGCTACCAGGATCAGGCATAACTTGATTTTTGTGCAGCTGGCTGGCTGGGCTGTCTGGTCTTTCTGGTGCCCACGGGTTATAATTGTCAGTAATTTAACTGAACGTGTAATACCCCCTTAAGCGTGCTTCACTTGAACTTTTATTTGTTATTTGTTTGCTCTTCGTTGGTATTTCCGGTCCAGACCTTCGGCTCTTTTCAGCCTGCCACTCCGTCGGAACGTTGTGTTCATATTTTTATTTATTTTTTCTTTCTTAAAAAATCTTTTTTAGGTTTTAAAGACTGGGATACGTTTTACCTATGTCTTTGTTGGTTATCTCCTTGCCTATTGTTTGTGTGTGTGTGTGTGTGTGTGTGTGTGTGTGTGTGTGTGTGTGTGTGTGTGTGTGCTGGTGTGGGAGGGGGTACGCCGTTAGGCTATTTCATTATCATGGTGGACTACAGAGCTGATGACCTTGGTTCGAATCCCCAACTAGGTGTTCTGAACTTGGATTGGCTTGGGGAGTTTTTAAGGCTCTCCATCCATCTGGCTCTGTCTTATTGGGGATGGACGTTAAAATCGGAGGTCCTAGCTCTTGAATAAATAAGCCTTACGTTATTACAGTGTTGTGAAAAACTAGCTGAACATTTGCACGGGCCAATGGCATGGGTGTTTGCTCAGCTACACACTTTCTAATGTATAGTGTGAGCTTTTGCGTCCCTCTCAAAACTGTAAGACCTTTTAAGGGGTGGATACTCAGACAATGCCGAGGCAAGATAGTGGAAAACCGTGACAACCGTTCACAACACAAGTTCAAGAGCCCGTCGTTATAGTGATTCGATCCGGATTCAATCGAAGTCAAGCATATTCATTAGACCTACTGACGTGACGTTATGATGGCATTGATCTCCTTACGAGACTGGAAAAGGAGATTTCAGACTGAAAACAATTACATTTGTATTGCATGCGAGAGAGTGTATGCCCTAGACCCTAGGCTGGTGTGTGCACACGGCTTATCTATAGAATAGACGAGCCTGCATGAACGCGAGGGCACATACACACGCACAGACCAACGATTACATTATTTTTACTTTTCCCTTCCTCTTGTACCAGTGCGTGTCGCATGGAGAAATAATAACATGAAATGACATATTTGTCAGCTGAGGGGCTTGGCGGGAGGTCAGGTCGAGTACTCTGAGGGCGGCCTTTACTTCCGAGTTACTCCAGCGATGTACGAAGTTATGTTTTGCAGGCTTAAATTCTCTGTCTGTCTGTCTGTCTGTCTGTCTGTCTGTCTGTCTGTCTGTCTGTCTGTCT